GGAAGTGGGCCCCGGCTTCCACGCCTCGGCGCCCGCTTCTTCCTCCGCGGGAAGGGAAGGGCCCGGGAGGCCGCGGCCGGCCGGTGGGGGCGCCGGGCGGCCGGATCTTCCCGGGGGGGCGGGCGGTGGCCCTGGGGGCCGAGAGCGGCGCAGGTTCGGTGGAGGGAGGGCAGCCGCAGGCCGGCCTTCTCGCTGGCCACAGCGCCCTGCACGGCTGAGAAATGAATGGACGGCTCCCCGAGTATTGAGGAGTGCCTGCAGTGGGCTAGGCACGCTTCGGACTGCTGGGCTGCAGCAAAGGGACAAAGACGACCCTGCCCTGGGGGAGCTTGCGTTCCAAAGTGAATGGATTTCAGTAGTTGTTAAATTAGTTTTACACGTCTTACCCAAAGTCTACCTTCAATATTAATTGATCTAGAAGTGGAGGCATAAGCACTGAAGAAGAAAGGAACATTCTCACTGAAAGTTTCTATTTAATATTGTTTTAAAAGTACTTCTGGAAAGGACAAAATGTCTTTTAATAAATTAATTTATATGAGCAAATATTGAGTTTAATCCTACCAGTAAGGAATGAGTCAACTAATCACTTTCTAAATGTGCAAAAATATGAACTGAACTAAGAGCTACTTAATTCCTATTCCCTTTTTTATTAGTCCACAGTTATTTCACTTTTAAGTAAATATGATTTCTTCAAAATGGCACAGTGTATGAAATGTGATTGAGACTAGACTTACGTGGAGTTCCTAGATAAATTTACTTCTTCAGTTTCTTGACTGTTCAGGATTCAGCATACAGTCTTTGGTCTTTAATTCCTTTATGTGACTTAAGGAAATGGGAAAGTAATGCCTATATTGGACTAAACCTCATTTCACTTCAAAGACTAACCTTTCTTAAAGTTGGACCTTAGTCTTGTGAGGAATAGAAAGATCAAGAACTCTGCTGCATCTCAATTTTCCATCTGTGAAAAGGTGTTCAGATTTTCAAACTGCAGCCACCTCTATTAGGTTGAACCCTATGAAATTGGTTGCTTTATAGGTCAAAACTGGAATACCAGCATTTCAGATGGTTCACACTGATAGTTCCCCTGTATTTCCCCATGACCATTTGTAGAGGATGTTGTGGTGGTGTGGTGTTGCAAAAGGTGGGATGTTGTCAAGCTTTTAACGTTAAGAGTTAGGGCTGAGAGTCCTGGAGATAGGTATTATAACCTCCACATTTATCAATGAGAGACCAGAAGCAAAGGGGATAGCTTTGACAGTACTCATACTGCTGACTGCCAGCCCTGGGCCTTTTCTAATATAATTGAACAATTAGACATAGTGTTCTTAGATGCGTAGTTTGGTATTTCATCACCTTGAAACCCCATGGAGGAAGTACGAGATGCCTTCTTCAGCCATCAAAGCCATCTCTCAGTCCTGGTTTCAAAACCATCTTCAACCCCAAATGGATCTCTTCTCGAGCCTTCTCATCTAATCAGTTATGGAGTCCTATGAATTCTTACCTCAGAATCTCTCCCACCAACTCCCACCTCTGCCATTCTTCACCTGGCCCACACTCGTTACCAGGGATCTCGCCGCCCCCAATATCTCCCCCTTTAACAAGTCAGTCCTTTAGGAACGTCTGTTGAGCACATACTAAGTGCCAGACACTGTGCTAGTTACTGGAGACAGAAAGATAAAACAACCCGTGTGTAGTGGTTTGAAAATATGTCCTGGGGCTGGCCCCGTGGCATGGCGGTTAAGTGCATGCGCTCCACTGGACAGCCCAGGTTCAGATCCCGGGTGCGCACTGATGCTTGTCAGGCCGTGCTGTGGTGGCGTCCCATATAAAGTGGAGGAAGATGGGCACAGGTGTTAGCCCAGGGCCAGTCTTCCTCAGCAAAAAAGGGGAGGATTGGCATGGATGTGAGCTCAGGGCTGATCTTGCTCACAAAGAAATAAATAAATAAAACATACAATAAAATAAAATATGTCCTCAAATTCTTTGATACTCCTCTCTTCAGGCCTAAAAGGCATTTTGGCTTTCTCCTTTCTCTCTGTCTTGGATCACTCGCTCTGGGGGAAGCCAGCTGCCATGTTGTGAGGATACTCAACCAGCCTGATGGAGAGTCCACATAGCAAGGAACCAGGGCCTCCTGCCAACAACCAGCACCAACTTGCCAGGCTTGCAAGCCATCGTGGAAGCAGGTCCTCTGGCCCCAGGCCAGCTTTCAGAAGACTACAGCCCAGGGTGACCTCTTGACTGCAGCCTCATAGAGACCCTGAACCAGAACCAGCCAGGTAAGCCACTCCCAAATTCCTAACCCACAGCAGCTGTGAGATAACACACCTTTGCTGTTTTAAGCCACTAAATCTTTTTGTCATTTGTTATGCTGCAAGAGGTAACTAAGAAGCCTGCTGAAACTTACCATCTTTTAGAAGAGACAGAGGCATCATTATAATTCGGTGTGATGATGGTGACTCTAAGAACAACTTGAGGCCCGGCCCCGTGGCTTAGCGGTTAAGTGCTCGCACTCCACTGCTGGCGGCCCTGGTTTGGATCCCAGGTGTGCACCGACGCACCGCTTCTCTGGCCATGCTGAGGCCATGTCCCACATACAGCAACTAGAAGGATGTGCAGCTATGACATACAACTATCTACTGGGGCTTTGGGGGGAAAATAAATAAATAAAATTAAAAAAAAAAAAGAACAACTTGAGATATATACACTATGAGTGCAAAGAAAAGGTAACTTATTCTGTCTGGGGTAGAGGGAAAAGGACATTTGGGCTGGGCCTTTGTCTAGTAGGATTTTACTGACAGAGAATGCAGAAGCGTGGTAGGAGATGGATTTTGGAGAGCTAAGATGGAACTGGATTATAATGGGTTTTGAATGCCGTGATAAAGAACTGTGACTTTCAATGTATATGTGTATCAAATCATCACGTTATACACTTTACATATCTTACAATTTTATTTGTCAATAATATGTCAATAAAAGTGAAAAAACATTTTTTAAACAGTCTTGTGGGGGCTGGCCCGATGGTATAGTGGTTAAGTTCACACGCTCCACTTCGGCAGCCTGGGGTTCGCAGGTTTGGATCCCAGGTGTGGACCTACTCACTGCTCATCAAGCCATGCCGTGGTGGCATCCCACATACAAAATAGAGGAATAGGGCCGGCCCCGTGGCTTGGCGGTTAGGTGCGCGCGCTCTGATGCTGGCGGCCCGGGTTCGGATCCCGGGAGCGCCCCGAGGCACCACTTCTCCGTCCAGCGCGAGGCCGGGTCCCACGTACAGCAACTAGAAGGATGTGAACCTATGACGTACAACTGTCTGCTGGGGCTTTGGGGGGAAAAAACTGAATAAATAAAATCTTAAAAAAAAAAAAAAAAAGAAATAAAAGACATGGAGCATTTAAAAAAAAAAAACAAAATAGAGGAATATTGGCACAAATGTTAGCTCAGAGACAATCTTTTTCAAGCAAAAAGAGGAGATTGGCAGCAGATGTTAGCTCAGGGCCAATCTTCCTCACCAAAAGAAAAGAAAAAAAGAATTGTGACTTTATTCTGCAAATGGTGGGAAGGAATGGGAAGTTTTTAAGCATGATCAAATCGGTCTTTAGAGAGAGAACTATCAGGAATAAGAAAGATCATTTTGATTAAACAGAGTGGTGTCAGGAAGACCACTTGAGAAACTATTATAACAGCCCAATAAAGAAATGAACACTTCTCAAAGAATAGTGGCGCTAAGAATAAAAGGGAGGCGAATTATTTCAGAGACATTTCAAGGGTTAATTAACTGGATTGATGACTGCTTTAATATAAGACATACAGGAGTTGGAGGGGTCAAAACTTTAGGCTGGGATGATGATGGTGGAATCATTAAAAAAAACATATGGGGGCCGGCGCAGTGGCGTAGCGGTTAAGTGCGTGCGCTCCGCTGCTGGCAACCCAGGGTTCAGATCCCGGGCGCGCACCAACGCACTGCTTGTCAGGCCATGCTGTGGCAGCGTCCCATATAAAGTGGAGGAAGATGGGCACAGATGTTAGCCCAGGTCCAGTCTTCCTCAGCAAAAAAGAGGAGGATTGGCATGGATGTTAGCTCAGGGCTGATCTTCCTCACAACAACAAAAAATACATAAATATATATATATAAACAACAGAGAAAGAGCAGCATAAGAAAGGAGAGGAAGATGGTCTCTGCTTTGAACAAGCTGGGCTGAGGAGTCATGGGACATCCAGATTGACACCTTGACAGGTCAGTTGGAAACGGCTGGATTGACTCTAGGGAGGGAAAACCAGAATTCAAGGTATTTGTGGTTCGTCTGCACGGAGACTGTTGAAGCCGTCAGGTTAAGGAAGTGTTCTGCGGAGAATGTGCTGAGTGAGAAGAAGCCCAAGGTCAGCGGAGTCCCAGGGAGCCCAACACTGAGAAGGGAGGGGGAGGAAAAGGAAAGGGGGGTGGAGGAGGCCACGACACACGCCTTTCACAGGGCAGGGTCAACCAGGCAGGATGAGAAGATATTGAGCCCCTGGGGGCAGGCATCGTGCCTTTGAGACCCCGCTCTTAACTGAACATGGGAGTGGGCTTACCAGTGGGTAGAAGATGAGAAAAGGATGTGG